AGAAAAGCTCCATAAATGAAAAATGAAAGTAATAAAACTAAAACAGTAGGGCTGGGCTGTGGCTCCGTGACAGAGCGCTTGCCTAGCATGTATGAGGCGCTGGATTCATCCTCAGCACCACATAAAAATTTTTTTAAAAATAAAACAAAGGCATTCTGTCCATCTACAACTACAAAAAAATAAAAACACTCTAAAAAAGTAATAATTCTGACCTTCTAGGAAATTTTAAATCTCCAAAAATTCTTGGTAAAAAAGTAAATCAAACCTAAAATTTCCAAATACTCAGAAAACAATGCAAATCAAATTTAGATGGAGAGGCTGGAGTTGTAGCTCAGTGGTAGAGCGCTTGTCTAGCACGTGTGTGGCACTGGGCTTGATTATCAGCACCACATATAAATAAATAAAATAAAGGTCTATCAACAATTTAAAAAAATTAGTAAAAAAAATTTTAGGGGGAAGAGCTAAAGCAAGTGTCAAAAGAAATTTTCAGAGGTTTTGTTTATATTAATAAACAGAATTTTTAAAAAATGACTTAAGAATTAATAACTCAAAAAATTATAAGAATTGGTAAATTCAAGAGTTGGTTCTTTGCAGGAAAAAGTAGAATAACTTAACTAATTCATAAAGAAATATAGAAGGACACAACAGACACAAAATAAGGAATAAAAATGAAGCACTAACCATGAATATGGAGGAAATAAAAAGATGAAATCTACTTGGCTCAATTTTAATAAACTTGAAGGCCTGGAGGAAGTGAATAATTTTGTAGGAATATATAATTAGTAATCAAAACTTGACTCCAAAAGAGGCTATAATTTTTTATATATCATAAAAGATAGAGAAAAGTTTTCAAAGAGGTAATCACAAAAACCCTGTAGCCAGATAGTTTCAAAGAATATTCTTCCAAATCTTTAAGAAAAAATGAAAAATTGCAATGTATTTAAGTTACTGCAGAGAAAAATTCTGAGAAGGTAGCTATATGGCAGCAGAGATTTTTAATCTCCATCTCCCCATAAACGAACAGAACAACCAATCTGGCCATGGTGGTGCGTGCCTGTGTTCCCAGCTGGCAGGAGGATTACCTGAGTCCAAGTGAACAGAGCCAGCCTGGGCCACACAGTAAGACCCTGTTTCTTAACAAATCCACAAAAAACACTGACAAATTTCAAAGTATCCCCATATATCCCAACATTTAAGAGGATGGGAAAAAACTGCCAAAAGCTGTAAGACCTGCATGGTGACATCATTATCTGTTTTATATGGGCTGACCCAAAAGAAGTCATGTACTTAAGAGCAAAAGAAGTCTAATAGCCAATCTGTAATTCACTGGACAGCACAGGGGGCCAGCTTGAGAACTGCAGGTAGAGCTGTGAGATTCTGGCCAGCTCAACAGTGAACCCAAGGTGAATGCCTGGGACCTAAGGTAAGATGAGAAGGGCCCACACTCCAGGTTCTAGGACTCTTCCAGTACCGATAAGAAACCTCTGAAGCTGGAACCAAAATTAAGCAAGATAGGAGAAAAGATATAAAAGAGATGGTCCAAATAAAGTGGGGATGGCAGGTACAGAATAAGAAATGTCACAGGGGCTGGGGATATGGCTCAAGCGGTAGTGCGCTTGCCTGGTATGCAATGCGGCTCGGTTCGATCCTCAGCACCACATACAAAAAAAGATGTTGTGTCCACCAAAAAACTAAAAAAATAAATAAAATTCTCTCTCTCTCTCTCTCTCTCTAAGAAAAAAATAAAAAAGAAATGTCAGAAAGCAAGCTGGCCTGGTTTTAAACATTTGACCAAAAAAAAAAAAAAAAGTCTGTGTGGGGGCAGTCTTTAAAGCTAGAAAAAGTATTCTGACCCAGGCCTTCTTTTTAAAAGTTCGGGAAAGCTAGCCCTGTGAGGTGGCACATGCCTATAATCCCAGCAACTCAGGAGGCTGAGGCAGGAGGATCACAAGTTCAAAGCCAGCCTCAGCAAAGTTGAGACACTAAGCAACTCAGTGAGACTCTGTCTCAAATAAGGCTGGGGATGTGGCTCAGTGGTCGAGTGCCCCCGAGTTCAATCCCCAGCATTAAAAAAAAAAAAAAGTTCAGGAAAGCTAATTGTGCATATAAATGAGCAACAGAAAAATATCAAGTTTAGAATCCCATAAAAGTATTCTATGAAAAAAATATACAAATATTTCTGCAAACGGAGAATAGATGCCTCTAGATAAGACCTTGAATTAGATGAAAATCATATATAACATACTAGTATTTCAAAATGAATTAAAAGACAGTAAAGAAAATACCACAAGACATGAAAGAAAATGAACCAGAAATAGAAAAACTCAGAAATAAGATAACAGAATACAAAAAATAATTAGAATAAAAGGAAAAATTAATTCCTGGAATTAAAACCAAATTAAAAGGAACACAATGGGTTGGGAAATGGCTCAGCAGCAAATCGCATGTTGAGCATGTTAGAGTCCTGGAGTTCCATCCTCAGCAGGAAACAAGAGGAACAAAAAATAATGCTTTAACAAAGAAACAAGAGGGTTGGAGATATAGCTCAGTTTTGCCTCGCATGCACAAGACCCTCGGTTCAATCCCCAGCACCACACACCAAAAAAAAAAAAAAGAAAGAAAGAAAGAAAAGAAAAATAAGAAACAGAATCCCAGAGGGAGGGAGCAAAGCACAGCCTGTAATCCCAACTGCTCAGAAGTATGAGGCAGGAGGATTGTAGCACAGGGCCAGCCTGGGCAGCTTAGTGAGACTTTACCTCAAAATTAAAAAAAATCAAAAGGACCAAGGATGTAGCTCAGAGTGTCACTAGGCTCAATCCCCAGTGCTGGAACGGGGGGAGGGGTGGAGAAAGAAAGAGAAAAGAGGAGATGTATATAAGTCTTTTGTTGCCTGAATTTAATTTTTAGATTTTCATGGGCTGAATGTGAAGCCCTTGGGATGCTACAATCCATAGGGTGATTTGCTCCTGTACATTCTTTCTGTCAAGACTGGCTTGCTCTTTCCTCCCTACCAGCTACCCATCAGCATGGCTTCTGGGTGCCTGCCTCTCTGCTCTTCCCCACACTGTATATCTGTTCAGAGTGGAAGCCAGAGAGCCAAGGTGGCTAGAAGCCCGTGACATGCAAGCAATGAAGGATGCCCCACTGCAGTGCCAGCTGCAGGCCTTCAGCTCAGGGTCTTCTCCCCACTGTGGTTCAAGTTGTTACAAGTTCTTTCTTAGACACTAACACAGTTCAGTGTTTAAACCTAAATTACAAATTGTGGCAGACAGTAGTCATTTATGAATACTAAATATCAAAAGGCAAAATCACTCTTTTTGTAACTATGGGATGTGGTGTAGCTCAGTGTTCGAGCACTTGCCTTGCATGCAAGAGGCTCAAGTTCAAACCACAGCATAGGAAAATAAAAGAGAGAGAAAAAGAGTAACCATTATGAGAACACTTGAGTTTTTCCTTAAAAAACTTTTAATATCTCCTTCAATCATATTATCTACATGTTATTACTGGTTGTGAATTTATCTAATATTATTCTTATTTTTTTTTTAATTTTATTTATTTATTTATTTATTTTTTATTGGTTGTTCACAACATTACAAAGCTATTGACATATCATATTTCATACATTAGATTGAAGTGGGTTATGAACTCCCAA